ATTTCCTCTTACAGGCTTCCTTATGCCTGCCTTCAGTAATCTCACTGAACAGGCAGGCATCTGGCAGGCACCCAGCAGCCAAGTGCTGCCTGCACTCAGGTGAGCTCAGTGCCTTGGCTGCAGGTGAAAGACAGCAATGCGGATGCACTGGAACTATATAGTTTGGGATTTCTGTCCAGCGACGGTGACAACTACTGAGTAGAGACTCACTCTTCCAGTTGTGGAAAGGGAGCTGAAGCCTTGCTGATCGGCTTTTCCGTCTAGAGGAACTAGGCTGCCTGCTCTCAAAGCACGTCCGACCATAAGTCTCAGACTGCTTTCTGGAAGAAAATCTGAATTTCTTGCACTGGATTCGGACCAAAGAAATAGTGCAGCAGCAGGGATGTGGTTATATGTGCTGGGCACGGTCTACCTGAAGATCTGGACCATTGGTGAATCCTTCACCTAGATTTACGCTTAAAACGATTTGAAGCAGCCACTTTCTGCAGAGATGAGGAGTGACTATAAGCAGTCAGTTTCTGGACACCCTCGTGCTTCTAATGTTTCTTTGTAAAAGGTTCCAGTCTTACACTTGACCTTTTTAAAGAGACTTGAACTCTGATATTTGAATATTTTTAGCTGTGGATTCTGTTACAGCCTTTGAGTACCTGGATCTCCTTAAGCTACCGGGAGGCTTCTTGGACAGCGTGGGAAGGATTGTCTGAGAGCTGGCACGTGTGTTTGGGTGCTTTGAGCAGACTGCTACTGCCTACTTTAAGCAGCAATCCTTGAATCTGAGTATTGCTGAGCTTGGCTCCACTAAATGAGGCTGCAAAGCTAGTGGAGATACTGGCATGCTCGTTGGAAAGATGGAGCTGTAAATGCCATGGCCTTGCAGTGTTAAGCTACATTTATTTGCTGATGCCCTCTGTAAGCAGCGCCCAGGGAAAGGGAAGCTGTAGTCCCCACCCAGGGTGTGCTGCTTGCTATTTTAAGGCATTTTAAGGACTTTGTGCCCAACTTTCTGGTATAAATTTTGGCCTTGGTTGCATTTGCTTCCTGTTGGGCACAAGAGCAGAGCTCTGTGTGGAGGAACCGGCCTGTTCGCTGGCTTCAGCAGGTGAACGTGGCTGGGAGGCAAATGGCTTCCTCCTTGGCAAGCTTTGGGTAGCGCTGCTGGCGTGGGCTCTTTCCATCCCATAAAGCGGGAGCTCCTCAAAACAGAGGGAACTTGCAGGGACCCCCATTGAGATGCCAAGGACTGCTTGCAGAGGCCAGAATAAATGGCACCTTGCCACCTTAACATAGCAACAGAGACAAATAAAGGCTTGTTTTCAGGCCCAAAACACCCAGATGGCACTTCCTAAACTTGGAGGCGAGGTGATTTTCACCACGAGTAGGGACTGCCGCCAAAGGATAGCCTTTGGTGGTGGTCCGCCCAGTTGCCTGGCTGGGAATTCAGCAGAGCATCAAGCTCGTTGGTGAGCTTGGCTCTTGCCAGTAGCTCCTGTGTCCCTTCAGGGGTTTTGTGGAGCCCTCCAGGGTGACAGGCAAACCTCGCCGCCGCTTGTGCTCCCTTTGGCTGTACATGGGTTTCCTCTTGGGCGGCTGTGCCTGTAACGTGGTGCTTCACCTCGTGTCTGGTTTCCTTCTAGATCAGCACACCTGGTGTCCCGGTACCGCCCGCGGGCTCCCATCATTGCTGTGACCCGTAACGACCAGACGGCGCGCCAGGCCCACCTCTACCGGGGCATCTTCCCCGTCCTGTGCAAAGAACCAGCCCATGACGCGTGGGCAGAGGACGTGGATCTCCGTGTGAACCTGGGCATGAATGTTGGTGAGTGATGCTGCTCCAGCCTCCTCTGGGGAACAGTCTGGTGGGATGTGGTGGTCCTGAGCACCTCAGATGGTGCTTCTGGGGTTACTGATGGGGACTGGTGACAAGGGGAGAGGAACTCCCTGCCTGTGTGGTAATGGTATCCGACTGGGAAACGGGGTACAGTAGTTGCATAAGCACAGCCGCATCCGATTGTGAAATGGGACAGCAAGTTTGTCACAGCTGCCTTAAAATAGGTCCCAGCAGAAAACGAGGTTGGTTTTAACGTGATAAGTGCTTGAACCGCGATGCTGGAGACAAGAGAAGTCTGGAGCGTGGTGGCTCCTTTCTCCGGTCCCTCTCCAAATCTCGTGCTGTTGAATTTCAAGCTCTGTGTCGCAGAGGAGCCAAAAGCAGAGGCGAAGGGTCCGAGATGGGTGGGCAGCAGGAGGACGGGGTCTTGATACCAGCCCAGGGCCGCAGCTGCTGTGGGACAGGCCCACCCCTGCACCTCGGTGGCGAGGGGAGTGGGTGACAAGTGATGTTCCCCCCCGCAGCAAGCTGACGGTGGTGGGACCTGAGCTCTTGACACCTCCCTCTCTTCTCTCCTAGGCAAAGCACGTGGGTTCTTCAAGAGTGGTGACCTGGTCATCGTACTGACGGGCTGGCGTCCTGGCTCGGGCTACACCAACACCATGCGTGTGGTGCCGGTTCCCTGAACGACTGACTCCAACCAGCGCACACACCTTCCTTCCCCCCCACCCCGCTCCCCTCTCCCCTCGCGTTAGACCAGCCATCGCTTGCGCTGTTCTCCTTCTCCCTAGAGTGGATGTAGGTTGCTAAACCACCCAGTGCAGCAGCAGCAGGGGGGAAGAGACCTTAAATCACTAAAAAAAAAAAAAAAATACTTGAAGTGTTTAGTTTTTTTAAAATCTTTCCCCGTAGCAAGTCCTGCCCCGATGTATGTTGGGGTCGGTGTCAGAGGTTCCTGCGTGCAGCTGGGCCTCCTAGTTTAGTGACTGTCCTCAGGGTGTGAAACGTCCCTTTCCCTGCCCCTGTTTCGGGGTGACAGGGAAGGGGAGAGGTGACGTGTGGTCAACGGTTCTGCTGTAACCCTCCTAACTCCAGGGAAGCTGCTACTTCCCCCCCCCGTGCAGACCAAATCCAAGGTGAATCCAGCCCCCTTGAAGCCAGTGGGTTTTGTTTTTTGTTCCAGGGGTTGGGGGTAGAAGAAAGGTGTTGGTTCCCGACGCAGTGCGAAGGCCTTCCCGTGCTCCCCTTGCAGCGTCGTCTGTGCGTCAGTCGTGTTTGCCCCTCGCCCACACACTCCCCCCCCC